CAACAAAATTAAATGAATCGCCAATAATCAATGGTCATTTTGTTGAATAAAAGTGCTTCTCATAACATTTTCTACATCTTACCTGTTGTTTTCGTTTCTTTCTTGAATATTAGAGCCAGATGTTATAATTTTCTTGTCTCAGCTTAAACCCCACGTTCCGTCTTGATCTTGGTTCCCGGCGTTATGCGACCCGTATTTATGCGCATCGGAGGATATGACGTCAGATCTGGAACATTCCAGAAGGCGGGCGATATTTTCCAATCAGAGATGAGAAGTAAGTCACGTGTCGTTTATATCACGCTTTCTAGAATGTGATGAAATATTAAAAAAAAGTGATTCATAGGTAGGTACTTTCGCTTGCCTAGGTACCAGTTTTACTAATTAATTTGTTTTAGAAAATTTGTTGTAGAAGCGAAGGCCAGCAATGCTATAAACAATGTTGGCATTATTTTTTGGGTTCATTAACCATTATTTTTTGTCGCAACATCATAATTTTTTCTATAATGAAACCGTATACACCTTCCATTATGGTCTTTTTTAGATGTCAGGGATACATTTGTCTATTCAATAGAGCGTAATTACCTAGATTTTTTTTATGGGGACAGAGATTTATTCAGAGAAATTAGTCTTACTGAAAACATTTGATATATTTTTTCTCAATTCCAAAAGTGTTTTGGTAACATGTATTTTAACTCTTCAAATATGTTGTTTGCGTAGCTTCAATGACGCGTTACCCTTTTTTCCTGAGTAGCACACCATAAGTTATTAATTAAGCAATACAGAAGTAACAAAACAAACAGTAGATGTTTATTCAAGTTTCATCTAAAACTATTTCTATTTATATGTATTTCAAAATTTAAATGATGCATCGAAAATTATTTTTTTTAAAATTTCCTTTTTTGGATACAGTGTGACATTAGATAATATATTTCTTACATATTTTCCATGGACATTTAACACGAAATTTAATCAAAGTAGCATCGTAATTATGATTTTAGTACATAACTACACTGTTACACCTAGTACATGACCCTACCCTGTTATAAGTGTAATTACACCTAATATATATAACTACAAATTTACACTGGTGTAACTATGGTAACACCCTCCGCTGACGAGTTAGAAGGAGGAAGAGAGAGAGAGTGCCAGAAGTCGGTGCCAAAAGCAAGCAAAAATACTATTTTCTCATCCGCTGCCCTAGCTATAGTTGCAACACAAGCTATATTACAAAATAGGAAATTACGACACCAAAATTGAAATAAAAAGCGAGTAAAGGGAAACAACTCCCACTTCAATATGAACTTAACAACATGACAACAAACTCCCGATCGTCCTTTCATTAGAAGGCATGACAAGACAAGGTAAGCTAAACAAACCAGATATCTTGGGGTTAAAGGTCATCAGAGACGAAGTTAGCCAACAGACTTTTGTTAAATAATCCATGTTGGCTATTCAACGGGTTAGCTCGACATCAGGATCTGTTATAAATTCTATGTTAACTGGTCATCAGGATCTGTAATATATTCTATGTTATCTGGTCATCAGGATCTGTTATATATTCTATGTTATCTGGTCATCAGGATCTGTTATATATTCTATGTTATCTGGTCATCAGGATCTGTTATATATTCTATGTTATCTTGTCATCAGGATCTGTTATATATTCTATGTTATCTTGTCATCAGGATCTGTTATATATTCTATGTAATAAGTCATTGGTTATGTATTATATATTAGAGTAGTGGTCAGTGTTTTTATTGTTATTTTTTGTTACCATATCATAATATTGTTTACTGCGGTGTTGTTAACAGATGTATTAAATATAGAGACCAGTAATAGATTCTTAATGTATAGATTAAATTTGTCCACTGTGTTTCCTTTGTTTAGGGCTCGCCTTCACCATCCAGTGTAGCTAACTTCACTGTTGTTCTGTTTCATCGAATTGTTACTATTTCCGAGAATGCAAAGCATACCTACCAAACGAAGACCAGCTCAGTCACGAACTATCGGGTTGGATATTGGAAACACAAATTGTAGAGTAAGTTCCTGGTCATCAAAATTAGGAAAGCCTGAGCGAGTCCTGGACGAGTTGGGGAACAGGTGCATTCCCTCTGTGGTAGCAGTTACAGCCACAGGTGTATTGGTTGGACATGAAGCCATTGGAATGCTCATGAAAGATCAACACAATGTCTTTACAGGTACAATTTAATATATAACAATACCATTTAAGTGTCCAAACTTCACCAAGTAAACAATAGTTATTGTTACATTTTTCTTTGTTTTTTGTTATTTTTATTTTTTTGTTTGTTTGTTTTTATTTATTTATTTTTTTTTTTTGTGATAACAATAACACATGTAAAATAGGTCCTGAAACTAGAAGCTTAAATGGTATAAAACAATATTAGGGAGCCAGGCAGTTCAAATAGACATCTGCATCAATATAAGTGAATTAAAGGATTCCCTACTTGTAAACAAAAGTTCATATAATGTTTTACCTGTAAATTATTGTTCAACTGGAATTTCACTTGTAAATTGATGTTCAAATGAAGTTTTGTATGTAAATTAATGTTCAAATAAAGCTTTATATGTGAATTAATGTTTAAATGAAGTTTTGCATGTAAATTAATGTTCAAATATAGCTCTACTTGTAAATTCATGTTCAAATGAAGTTTTGCATGTAAATTATTGTTCCAAATAAATCTTTACCTATATTCAAGTTTAAGTAGTGTCTTACCCTTAAAATTATGTTCAACTAAAACTTTACCTATATATTAATGTTCAACTAGATATTTACCTGCAAATAAATGTTCTTTGAGAGATTGACTTGTGCATTAATGTTGAAATAGAGATCTGCCTGTAAATCAACATTCATATGGATCTTTACCTGTAAATTGATGTTCAAATGAAAATCTGCCTATAAATCAACATTCAAATAGAACTTTACTTGTAAATTCATGTTCAAATGGATCTTTACTTGTAAATTACTATTCAACTAAAGATTTTCTTGTATATAAATTTTCAACTGGTGTTTTGTTTGTAAATTATTATTCAAATAGAGCTTTACCTGTAAATAAATGCTCAATAAGAGCTTTAACTGTAAATTAATGTTCAGCTATTGCTTTATCTGTGAAACTAATTTTCAACTAAATATTTATCTGTAAATAGGCATTCAGCAATAACTTTACCTCTGAATTAGTGTTCAAATGAACATTTACCTACAAATACATATTCAAATGAAGCATTACCTATTCATTGGTTCTTTAACTAGAACTTTACCTGTAACTTAATATTCATCTAGCTACCACGGTATATACAGCTTTACATGTGAATTAGTGTTCAATGACTGGAGCTTTACCTGTGAACTAATGTTTAACCAGAGGTTTTTACCTGTGCATTAATGTTCAACCACAGCTTTACCTAAGAATTAATATTCAAATAGAAAGTTGATGTAAGCGTTGTGGAATTTTCTGCAGGTATAAGGGATCTACTGAAAGAAGATAATTCAGAGGAAAAGAGATTGAAAGTGGTGATCGATGGCAAAGAGACAGCTTTCTCACCAAAGGATATTCTCACCCATTTACTGAGCAAACTGAGAGACATTGTCCACAGTCGATTCGGCACGGTGAGTTTCCCTGATTATGTATTACTTACAGTTATCCAAAGACAATTTTAGTAATAATGATTTTATATCCAAAACCCATGATATATATTGGGAAAAAAATTATGAATAATATTGCATGGTGCTGTATATAATGTACAAGCATTTGACAGGAAACTGTTTGTTTGAACATTATAAACATGCTTGTTTGACAGGAAACTGTTTTTTTAAACATTATAAACATGCTTGCTTAACTGGAAATTGTTTTTTTTAACATAATAAACATGCTTGTTTGATAGGAAACTGTTTGTTCAAACATTATAAACATGTTTGACAGGAAACTGGTTGTTTAAACATTATAAACATGCTTGTTTGACAGCAAATTGTTTTTGAAACATAATAAACATGCTTGTTTGACAGCAAACTGTTTTTTTAAACATAATAAACGTGCTTGTTTGACAGCAAACTGTTTTTGAAACATTATAAACATGCTTGTTTGACAGAAAACTGGTTGTTTAAACATTATAAATATGCTTGTTTGACAGGAAACCGGTTGTTTAAACATGATAAACGTGCTTGTTTGACAGAAATCTGGTTGTTTAAACATTATAAATATGCTTGTTTGACAGAAAACTGGTTGTTTAAACATTATAAATATGCTTGTTTGACAGAAAACCGGTTGTTTAAACATGATAAACGTGCTTGTTTGACAGAAAACTGGTTGTTTAAACATTATAAACATGCTTGTTTGATAGGAAACTGTTTTTGAAACATAATAAACGTGCTTGTTTGACAGAAAACTGGTTGTTTAAACATTATAAATATGCTTGTTTGACAGGAAACCGTTTGTTTAAACATTATAAACATGCTTGTTTGACAGAAAACTGGTTGTTTAAACATTATAAATATGCTTGTTTGACAGGAAACCGGTTGTTTAAACATGATAAAAACATGACTGTTTTTAAATAAACGTGCTTGTTTGACAGAAAACTGGTTGTTTAAACATTATAAATATGCTTGTTTGACAGGAAACCGGTTGTTTAAACATGATAAACGTGCTTGTTTGACAGAAAACTGGTTGTTTAAACATTATAAACATGCTTGTTTGATAGGAAACTGTTGAAACTGTGGTTGCAGTGCCTGAGTGGTTGTCCGATTCTGGACGCCAGACTGTCAAAGATGTGTGTAGGGATGTAGGCCTCAACCCACTTAGGCTCATCAATGAAACAGTTAGTGCGTGTATAGCTCACGGAATTGATAATAAGGTAAACGTTGTGAGTTAACCCGACATATCTTTTGATATTTAGTTGGAATTGAACATATAATTTCATACTAGTATTCTACATCCTCTCCAATAAGAATTCACAAAATTAATATGTCAAAAATAGTTTCATATATGGGTTTAATTTCTTTCAATCAATTATAACAGAAAAAGGTCGAAGTTGAAATAAGCTACTTCTACTGTAAAACTGTAAACAAGAAGTGTAAATAACATTGGTACCGTTCTTGTCTAATTGTATAAACAGCTGCGTTTATAAATAGTAACCTTCAATATCTTGTTCCTTGGGAACGATAAAGAGGTTTTATCTAAACATTTTATGAATGATTATTTATCGATAAGAAAACTACAAATAAGTACTAAATGAATATAACATATCATTCTTTTGTCTATCACAAAAAGTTTCCGAACAACGAAGCAAAAGTGTTGGTGTTAGACATGGGCGGAAGTTCCTTCAAGATTTCCGTCATTCTCGTTGAAGATGGGATATTCGAGACCACTTATACAGCAACGCACTCGGATGTTTCCGGAAACAAGTTTGACGAAAGTTTGGCCGATTTTCTCATAGCCAAGTATAAGAAAACCAAAAGTAGTCTACATGAAGATGAACGAATCATGCGACGCATGCGCACTGCATGCTGTAAAGCCAAAGAATGTCTTTCAACGTCATCATACACAAATATTCTCATAGAAAATTTAGAAAATGACACCGATTACAAAAATACTGTAACAAAAGCAAATTTTGAAAAGGTGAACTTTGACCGTTTTCTTCATACTATGGAGCTAATTGAGAGAGCGTTGAAGGATGCTGGTGTAGATAAGGATGACATTGAACTTGTGGTGATGGCTGGAGGTTCGGCAAAGTTACCAAAGTTAGCAGAAATGGTGGCCAAAGCGTTCCCGGGACGTGTTTTACATGGAAACATTGATCCAGAGGATGTAGTTTCTTTTGGCTGTGGTACGTGTGATTTAGTATAACGTAAATCAAAAACAGCGTAAGAGAATGTCGAGACTTCGAGGCTAGTACTAAAATAGTTCTTCCGCTGTAAAGCTTAAAAAGGTAAAAAATCTTCCAAGTAATTTGTCAACCTGCTAAAACCAAAACATTGTTCAATTTATTGTTTTGTTTGTTTCTTCTTCGTTTTATTTAGAACAATAATGTAATGGTTAATCTTGCAGCCAAGCAGGCGATGATCCTGACTGGACAGGAATCTGCGAAGTTGGATGACCTCCTCTTGTTAGATGTGGAACCACTGTCATTGGGTCTGGAAACGGCAGAAAAAGTCATGACAGTACTGATTCCGCGAAACGCCACGATACCATGTAAAAAGTCAATGACATTCACAACCTACCTTGACAACCAGGTCACAATGCTGTTCCGGGTGTTTGAAGGCGAGCGCTGTTTCACCACTGATAATAGCGACCTTGGTATGTTTGAAATGACTGGGATTTGGGCCGAGCCGCGGGGTCGGGCACGAATCGACGTGACGTTCGAAATTGATGCAAACGGCGTACTGACAATAGCGGCATTGGACAGGTTTTCTGGGAAGTCACAGTCATGTTCCTTGAAAAATTTCAAATGTAAGTTTCACACCAAACGGTGATTTACTTTTACATATAACATCAAGCTTCCTTAGGTTATGTAAGTATAACAGATTTAACACGTGTTTGTTCAACAACTGGCGCTTCCATTGTTGGAATACACCTGCAACATAGGTTTGCTGTAATCGGTAGTGACGGAAATACATGTATTTTAGTGCCATGAGTATATATTCGACAGAATTGGGTTTTGTTAATTTTTTGTTTGTTTTTGTTTTGTTTTTGTTTTTTTTTCTTGTGTGAATGATAACGTTTCAAAAATACAGGCCAAGCTACCGTTTAAGTAAGCAATTTCATTTGTTGAAATGGACAAGTTTATTTACGAAAAAAATGAAATCGCTCGTATATCCGTTGCTTTGAGCAAATGTTTCAGTGTATGTCAACAAACTTTACGCCAACGTCAGGTAAACAGAGATGATTAACAAAACTGTTGACGTTTTGATTTTTAATCACCAACGGCTCACCAAATTTGTCTTTCTTCATTCTCGCCAAAATACAGCTGATATTTTAAGACACTGACCATAATATGTTACGTTTTCATATCAACGACACATTATTTTGTGTTACATTGACACATTGCTTACTTAGAAATTGCTTTTAATGTTTGCTTAAACTTGTTTACATGTGTATATCGATTCGCCAAGAGTTGCCTCTATACTATGAAACTTATGTTGTTGAAAATATTATTTTAAAAAAAAACGTGTCTTGTCTTGATATTGCTATTTGTTATTGTTTTCTCAACACATAAAAGGTCATTAGGCCCATCAAACGGTAAAACGCACAGCGATCCAAAAGGAAATAACATTAAACAAACCAAAAAAGTAAAAGACAACTGCTAAAAATCGTATATGGGTATATTATCTTGATAGACACAACAATTATTCGTAGATGCTAAATTTATCACATTCTAGTAAATTCTACAACTGTTCTTAAAGTGGAGATTTCTCATAGATTTCTAAATTGGTATGATACCGTCTCGTTTTTATGTTTAATTTTCATATACTATAGATCTTCTTTTTTATTTATTTATTTATTTATTTATTTATTTATTTATTTATTTATTTTGTTTCAGCCTATTGCGATCAAGAAGAGATCGAAGATATTATTGAGACTGCTAAGGACACCAGGGATAGTGATGACAGGAAGATTTCGAAAGTAAAGGCCAAACTCTATCTTTTAAGTTTTATAGTCAACTTGGAGACGACTATAGAGAAGGAAAGTGGAATAAATGATAACGTGAAAGAAAAAATAATGACAAAATGTAGAGAAATAAAAGAGTGGATGACAGAACAAGAATCTATTGAACAAAGCGTGTGTGACGAGAAGATTGCACTCTTGGAAGATGAGATATGTAGTCATAGTGATGTGCCGCGCGAACTTGTCACTCGGTGTAGAAACGATGAATTAAATTTTATTAGTGGCCGAGTTGTGAACAATAAGCCACAAAAGTCATCAACGGGATGGAGGATGGGTAAAATAGGGAGACCCACACAGTCTACACCTAACATAAATGTACCGTCAACTCGCCCATCTCCTGCCGTAGATTTCAAAATAGACGAGTTGGATTGAACGAACACCACACTGACTTCATTCTGGTCGTCATTCACATACAAACGAACAAACAGTTGATATGTGAGTCAATATGACCACTCCGCTTTATTGTACACTGGCTGGCCAAGTGTCAAACATAAACTGGTTAAACAAGAATAATGTTACCCTATGATAGAGTACATCTAGTACGTCTTCTCTACGGGTTAATCAAATGTTTTACGCAATTTGAAATATTAGTCAAGCCCAGGCAAAATTTAAACAACAATGTTTTGGTTCTTGGTGTTCCACAAAGATTTAACTCCGTAGAACTACCGACGTCGTTGTCTACATCGACATGGTAAGACATCGGTTGAGAATGCCGCTAAATGAATATTCGTTACTAATAAACAATATCGATATCATGTCTTTGTAGTAGGATTTGCAGTAGATATGTGTATTCTCAACACGTCATCAGGTACGAACACTGTATTATTATTATTATTATTATTATTGTACCATAGTGATAACAATTTCATTTCATAATCATTGCCGCATTTTTTTAAAGAATACAAGTTCAATGTTATTAAGCCATCGTAGTTTGATTTGAAATGAGTTAATTATCAAACAGACAACAGGAAACAATGCAGCCAAGGCAACACATCACTTGAAATCGACACGTCATTAAAAAATTATCATGACTATCACATGCTCTTACAAATGCTATTCATGTAATTATGCATTGAAAATAATAAAATACGCAATCAGTTTTTTTATATAACGCTTACGTGCATTTATTTTCACTTTGTGACGTCAGCCTGTTCTTGACGTCATGTTTTTGACGTTTCAGGATCGATCATGTTTTTTAAAACGCTGGAAAGAAGCAGCGCATCCTACGCTATTTTTGTCAGGTCCATGATAACATTTTTCCATTTCGTCATTGCGATCAGTCATTACAAGCCTTGTTTCCCCTTTTATTTTACTGTTCTGTATATTTAGCTGATTGCTCATGATCACTGACCATTGGACATTGCCGGTACAATGCACTGGTCTCTTTATTTATATCCTGTTTTATAGCGAAAACGGAAATTAATCAAGGGGGACAATTCAAGTATCCTTGTAGCTGTTACTTTCAATCTAGTCATTTATTTGTCATTAGGAGCAAACGCATTTGATTAAATTAAAAAGAAAACTTCTGTTATAAAAGACAATACTCTATATAGATTTTACATTTTCATCTGTACATGTAATTCCTATTAATATAATGCTAATATATATGAACTGCCAAAACAAAGTATTAAATGCAATGCATTGGTAATGCACGCCCCTTGGAACAATGGCTACACTCAACAGAAAACGGTCTGTGTTGTTGTTCCTTTCAACGTTGTACGTCTTTTTCTAATGATAATAAACAAATAACGATCCAGTTGCCTGTGGTACATGTATGAGGTACTAAGTTAAGAATATCACCGTTAGAAAACACAAAATGTCGACTTTATTGGAGTTGCCCTGTCTTATTGTCACTGTACTTAGCAGAAGTCTCTGTGTAAATCTTTCTTTTGTTCATATTTTGCTCTAGTTTTATTGAATTTGAGTTAGGATTATGATTATGTTGACATTTCCGTCTTGTTTTTTTATTACAAAATTACAGTTACAGTTACTCTCAACAACATAACCCATGTTGGAAATATTGTCACTGCATACACTACACTGAAAACATTGTCATCTTTGTTACAAATGTACACATCCTTCATTCTTTTATGCCCATTTCTACAACTTGTAATCATTATTCCATACCAGAATAGTCACAGTGTATGTGGTTATGAATAAGATTGTTTTTAAACGAGTCTCCGGTTTCACGGTAGATATACCGGTTACATTGACTCTTGAATATGGTACAAAAGACATACAAGGACTCGTCAGTGATGTTAAGGACCAAAATTTTGAAACGAGGAAGCGACTGAGGAAAAAGTGAAAGAAAAGTCAAAATGTAGGTAGGAGAACGCACTCTCCCCATAATTCGATAAATTTCATCATTTATGTATATATCAGATAGTTTAAGAACAATCTCCATTATATGTGTATATTTTGAACCGTGCCACTGTTCGAATGAATGGAAACTTGGCAGTCAGGCTACGACAAACATCGGGGTTTAAAAGTTGCTAATTCGAAGACAGAACAGAAGACACAGAATTAAATAGCACTTTTAAATGCATATTTAGAGTTAGGAACAGTCGAGACAAACAATGAATTAAACTGCATCATAATGCTGTTTCGTCCTTCTAGGACTCGTCAGAGATGCCAATGGCCTAAATTATGAAGCCTGGGAGGCGACTGAGGAAGATCCAAAGTAACCGAAAGAAAAAGTTTGGATCTAGATGAGGAGGTGCCCCACTATTCAATAAATTTCATAATTTTCACAAAACAGATAATTGTAGTCCATTGTATGTGTGTATTCTGAACCGTACCACCATTTGAATGAATCAGTGTGGCATGCAGGTTACAGCAAACCTCGGTGACTAAAAGTTCACCAACAGTTTCTACCACCTGCTATCATAGATAGTACACAGGAAAGAAATGTGAATAGCACCTTTGAATGTTGTGTTAATGAATTATCACGAACTCTGAAAATCCTGTCCTTGTATCTTTGTATTGCTTATATTGATCGGTAATGGTCATCAGAAAAGCGTGACAAAACCCAGTTTATCTGTGTGTTTTAATTACACAAGTCATTCGGAGTCAGTGTTAGTGTTGATTTTCCGTAAAATTACAGGAGGTTGTTGTAAACAAAGTATGATAAACTTGTTTTTCTTAAATAATTTAGATAGAACAAATGAAAATAGATCTGTCGTCGTTTCGGAGACATAATGTCATGTTAATCATTCCTGTAACATCGTAATGTGTGATAATTAGGCTATATTTTCACTTTACTATGGTGATTAGGAAACGAGTATTAAGAAATAACATTTTAACTATCTTGTTGTTTAATGTATAATACACAGGCATTCATCTCTTACTTCAAATCGTTCAATTCAAAAGAAAGAAGGTAAATACGAACTGTGTGTCTTTAATGTTACCTGTCATGATTCGTGATTTATAAAAAATTTTATTTAACCAAAGTCATGAAAATCGAGAAATATAACTAACGAAATATTGTGTAAACAAAGTTCAAGAATTAGAATATACAACGTATTACATAAACCGTTGAATTAAAGGTTAAATGCTCTTCACGGATGAATCTTGATTTACGTAGTTACGTCAACGTGTGTACCGGCGTCGAGGTGAGCGTCTTGCAGAAGCTTGTATTTCGGAGCACGACCGAATTGAGAGTGGATTGGTTATGGTTTAGAATAAGAATTTCCTCAGAATGTACTCCCTGTCGATATAGAACAATCTTTTCCCGCAGAATTTGTTCATTTTCGTGGATACAGAAAAGTCGTTTCCCTCAGGAATAGTTTATGTTCCTTGTGGTATATATATAGAACAATCGTTCCCACAGAACAGGCGTTTTCCTATGGAATCGGGCTTATTGTGTTACTCAAGAATCGAAATTAATAGCTGTGAATTTCAAAACTCTAAATGTAAGGCTTTCCCATTATTGATTATTTCTTGTACAAGGAATTTTGATTTTTCCCTCTCTTTGTACTACCATAACCATACCACTTTTAAACTGAAGGAACGCCTTCAGTTTCTTATATGATTAATTTCTACTTAAAGAAAGATGAACTACGATACTGTATGTGATGGGGAACTATACTGTCGCGTATTTCATGAAAAGTACGCCTGAAGCCAAGACTATTGGCATGCCCATGGAAACTAATAACCCCCTCTCTTAGCTGACTTGTATGTGTTTATTGGTTTACATGTAAGGTTAATTTATCGTAGACCTCATCAGGACCGATAACAAAAATCTAAGAAAGTCTTCAAGTTCACTAACAGACACATTAATGGTGTCTTTCTTGAACATTTCACCATGCCTACGGAATCAAGAAGACGATAAACTCATCAATCGCCTCTATAGATATTTTCCTACGAAGAAATTAACAGGGGAAGGATTTATATATATTTCAATATATATTCCAGGTTTGAGACATGTCTCCTAGTGTCACAATTTTCAGGCAAGATGTCGGCAGTTGGCAGATAAACTTACAGATGCGGGTCAGTAAAAACCCCGGGAAAGTTTTATGACCGTCATCCTGATCTCAATTCTTATATTTAATTGTGTCCTTACTCAAGATGTTTTGACCTCGATTTACATGGCATGTGTCCTCCAAGATATTGATCCCTCTAGGACGTGTGCTGTGTTTACGATTTACCGTCGTTTCTGTCGATATGACAATTTTTCCCCTAGTAATGATCAGTATCAGTTCCTCAGACCTTTTCCAGTTTCTGATCCAACTTGGTTTCGCCGTTGTTGCAATAACTTGAAGACCCCAACATCCCAACACACCCCCAACCCCCCAAAAAAGTATTACTAAATTATTGAAATATTGCTAGGATGAGGCCCTAATGCCATTTACTCCATGCTTTATCAGAACCCCCAACTTGTTCAGTCTTGTGACCATCCTTTTTACATTTGTAATCGTCCTATGTTAACCCAGTCTGGTAGTACCTCTAGCGAGCCCCCTAGTCTGTCTGGCAGATGTCACGGGTGAATTGATGGAGCGACGATATTCTAATTGAACCATAATTTATATAAATCAATATGTAGATACACATCTATATCGATACCATAAATATTTGCCGCAATTAAGTAAAGCACCACCAATTCCACTCATTTACAAATCAATGATACTGACTATTGCCACAGTGTTGTAAATGAAGTTCGATCTCAAAACAAACACAATCCATTGGAAAAATTGTCTGTTCTGTTTGATAAGCCATACTTCTATCTGGAGTATCTCGCTTTGCTCCAGTGGTAGAATTTCTTCAATGATATCACGGCGGACTGCTCGGCTGATAGGCAGACAACGGTCGCTCTGGCAAGCTTGAGAGATAGAACGTATCGTCTGCAGGACGCGAACGAGTGAGCGCTGCAGCGC